GGAGGGCAGGAGAGAGGCCCGTGGTGCAACAAGGGGCACACGCTGGGCCAGAGCAATGGCAGGGGAAGCCCAGGGAGACAGGACAGAGCACAGAGCACAGAGTCTTGAGCAGGGTGGTGTCCAGGGAGGGAGCACAGGACAGAGACACAGGCATGTGGCCTGAGGGAGCCAGGCATGCCTCCAGCCTCTGCAGGCAAGGGAGAGAAGTTCTTGCCATGAACAAGAAGTGTCTTTGCGGCCCCCTGGCAGGGTCTGGTGGGCCCAGCAGAATGGGCCCACTGCACTAGGATGCGGAGGCAGGCACCTCCTGGCTCCCCCCTTCCCTCCTAATCCAATTAGCACAGCTCAGTGTTTTCAATTACCCAGGCCGGCCATCAGAGCCCGCCGTCCCCTCCCCCTCCCAATGCTCCCCAAGGCCCCGCCGGCATCTGAGCTCCTGTAGCCTGCAGGGCTGGCGCCGGCCCTCCTATCTCCTCCTTCCCCCTAGCCAGCTACCAAGCTCCCTGGGGCAGAGGCCAGAGCGGCTGCCCCAGCCCCAGGACTCTCTGGTCAGGGTGGTTGGAAGGAAGGGAGGCAGGAGAGGTGGGAGGGAGGGAGGGGAGCGGCTGTCTCAGGAAGCTTTGTCTCTGCAGAAGAACCTCAGTGCAAAGCCCCCCGGGAGGGAAGAGGGGTCTCTCTGGGGACATTGCAGAGGGTCCTGAGCTGGGAGGGACCAGGCAGGCAGCCAGAGACAGAGCAAGAGACAGTGACAGGGTGACAGGATGGGAGAATCAACTAGGTGGAGGAAGCAGGAAGAGAGACAAAGGGTCTGAGTGGTGAGGAGGGACAGACAAGGCAAGCTCCAGGAGGGAGGGGCTGCCCACTGTGTCATATCAGGGTCAAGAACTAGAGCCAGGCAGCGCCCAGGGCAGCCTCGGGGTGCTGGGTCTCTGGCCTAGTTCTCTGTCCCAGTCCTGTCTTTCTCTAGAGGGCACTACTTGCATTTCGGCACAGGCTGCTGTCCAGTACATCCGCCTGTGTGCTGTGTCTGACAACCTCACACATGTGTGTTTCTGCCTGTGTGGTCTCAGTGTCCCTGCCCCTTCGTGTCTCTGTGCCTGGCTCGATGCAGGTGTCTGGCTTATCTGTGTGTGCCACACGCGTCCATGTGCATCTGCGGCAGGGGAGTCTGCATGGCCTCCATGTACAAGTCTAAGGGGACATCCCCCACCCTTGTCCCATCAGCCCCTCTTTGCCTTAGAGCGGTGTGTCTACACTCCTTGCTCACACTCAGGAGAAAACATCACCCCATTCACACGTGCACACAGCCCGCTACACCCGAATGTTACAGTCACATATCTCCAGGCCTTCACACACCTGACCGAGAAGTAACAGTTATCGTGACTCCCAAACTTGCCCATAGAGGAAATCAAAATCACAGTCACGAACATTCATGCTCAGTCACAACCACACACGTTCACACACAAATATACAGCCTGTCCAACTCACAAGCACACACAAACACTCTTGATTGTCACAATCCTGCAGCCACACTCCCCAACACCCGCACACCTGCCTGTGCACCCCTACAAACATTACAATCACAGACACATGCTCAAGCAGCCCCACTCCCATCCCCCACCCAAAAGCTCCATCACAGAAAGCTTCCAGAAGGTGCTGGGCAGGTCCTGGGGTTACAAGGTGTCTTCCTGTCTCACTTTGGAGACAGGGCTACCAAGGGACCAAGCTGGGCAAGAGCCAGCTGGCATCACCCAAGTTGAAAACGGGGGTGACTTGAACCCAGGTCTTAGCGTAGGCTGAGGACTGGAACCGGACCCACGCACCTGCCCGCCACACCCCTGGGGTGGGTGGGGAGGGGCGCAGCAGGCAGGGGAGAGCCAGGAGGAGTCCCGAGACCGCGCGCGGGCCCAGCGCCGGCCGCTGTCCGCGGTGCTGAAGTCGCCCGGCCGGCCGCGCCGGGCTCTGTCCCTGGGGCTGACACACCCCACGCC